TTTGATATGTTTGGGCAGGTGTTGGATTTTAAATTAAATCTGAATTGAATAATTTAACTTTTTACTAAAAGACATATTTGTGAATAAGTTAATTAACACTTTCAATCATAAACCGGTTAAACTGTGTATTTACATTTAAAGAGTAACTTTGATAACTCCTACTAAACAATATGTGTAAACAATGAGGGATAGCCAGAAACCTTGCCAATTCGTCAATACGAGAGTCAGCTTGACACTGTTTCCAACAGATTGTTGCTCCGCTTCCTGAGATATGTCTGGCGTCACTGTACGGATACAATTTCAGTCCGTTCGTTTAGTGTTTCTACAATTGCTCCAAGGGGACACACTGGTCAATATTGATCTGTAAAGATTGTGTTGGTCATATGTTTTAAGCATTGCACAGTATTAGGAGTAAGCTTCGTACCTAACTTCTCTTAATTCAAAAGATTGTTATATGTCCATACCAAACACATGCCCATGTGTTTGTTTGTTTGGACTGTTTTATCCCGCTATGATATGTATTAAATGTTTTGTTTTCAACTATCCTTATATGACGAACTTAATTAAATGACGATAAACCGATTAACTTTAATGTACCATAAAACGCGCCCAGAAATTAAAAATTATATTCAAAGACGAGAAAAACTAGGGACATCTGTCAATAATTAAGCAGTAGTTCCCAGAAAAAGTTGCGAAGTAACATTTTCACGAATGAGTCTTGAAGATGATTATCCTCGGAAAACATATTTGCGAAATAGAATAGTACTGGTGTTAAGTTCAGACGGAGCATTCAGATAAAATGAGATTACAGTTGGGTGTGTATAATGTCTGCAGAAGATACTTCTACCTACTTGGTGTAATATATCGTCTAGGAACTAAGCATTGTTAATTCATTGTCCCTATCTTGGCACGCAACATAGACACAATAACATATCTCGCGTCAGGCTGTAGCACATGCTTCCAGGTACACTACGCCGCCAGATAATCACTAGCACGTGTAGTTCATACTTACAGCGACCTGTAGTTCATATCGGCTAACTAACTGCACGTACATGTCCAGGTAGGTCAAACGTTTGGTCACGTCATGAGACGCTTGTTTCCACGTTGATGGCATTGTAGACCTAACTGGAATCACGTGCCTGTTCTGATTTCAGGTAATGCATGTCACATACACGTATCTACAATGTATGATACGCGTGATACACAAGTGGTTCTATTTTTATTTTTTAATTACTTTTTTTCCGAGATATTTTCTTCATCGAAAGTTACGTAATGTTAGTTGAAGACACAAGTCCATCTGGACATTAAAAGAAAATACCTTTGTATCAATTGAATTGAGATCAGGCGTTCCAGAATGTTAAGCGTCTTTATCGATGACAACTGCAAAAAAAATCTGGATCAATCCGTGTAGGTTATTTCATGTTCTCAAATATAGATATCTTTGATGGAAATCGTGATATTTGGAACAAAGTTTCGAATCATTTGTGATATGTGAACATAAGAAATTGGGGATGTTCCCTGCACTTTCTACAAATCTGTGTTTAAACTCTTGTTCATATTTAGCCCTAATTTTCACTGAATTTGTGATCAAATTCAAAATATGTTGACATGTTGGTATTTTCTTAAAGCTCGTTAAGTTCGTTGTTAATGATGTGCTTACAAAAAGGACACATTAAGTAGAGGTGTATCAGAAATATGATATAATTGGTGACGATGACTGTGGTTTTATAACAAAATATGTTATCACGAATTCAACAACAATTGATTATGTGTCATAAATTAGTATACACTACGTATATGTTGACTGATTTATAATCGAATAAACTTAGTGTGCTGTATTGAAATGGATGTCACAAGCATGTGCAATCGTAATAAGTAATCTGTATTATTTTAGAAGCAGTGTCATATTGAAATTACGAAATATATAAGATAATTTGAAATGAGACAAGTCTTAACGAACCAGATCGTTGAACTTGTTTTTAATTTATTTTCGCATAATCATGATTAATAAAGTGATTTATTACAAAAATAAATTTCCTTGTAAAATTTTCTATCCCGATATTGTATTACGGTTCATCAGTGTTATTGTTTCGCTGTCATTTGATATTGTGACATGTGTATATCACAATATCATGTCACCATGTAAACATTCCGTAGCATTATTGATACTTCAACACGAGAATCTGAAACTTTATTTGACCTTGTACAAAATATCAATTGTCTTGCTATAGACAGCCTTCGAGGGAAAACAGAAATGGAATGTTTTTTAAGTAGATTCACATAAGCCGAATGCGTGTTTTCCTTCTTTCAGTAGTTGGACTTCGTACTGCAATCAGTTCGGAATGAAAACAAAGATGAGTTCATTTCGTTTGCAAATAATAGGTGATAGGTATGGAATATATGTTTGCAGCTCCAAGTAACCATGGGCACATGCATCTGTTCGCGTTTATATTGAACAAAAAATTACCATCCGATACATCAGAGCAATGCCAATAATTTCACAAGTCTTTGTGCAACAGTTCAGTATATTCAATACACACCAGTCCATTAGAATTTAATAATTACGATATAAAATATCAATATTATACATCATGTAATTTAATGTGATCACAACATACACACACATTCACATGCTTGTAATACAGCATATGATTTAACATGTGTATTGTGGTGATTCATCTGACCATTTATGAAATAATACAATTTCTGAGATCGAAATATATCCCTCGATTGTTATTGTTGCAAATGTTTTAGTGTCACACATGGGGGTTAAGTATTCCGCGTGATTTCATCGTTACTTACCTGACTATTATTTGATAAGATAACAATTGGATTGGCCAATATTAGCACGGCGGGGTAGCCATTAATTGAGAAGGCGCTTACTCCACTTCTGTACCTGGTCGGATTCTCATTTCAACGCACTCATGGTAGCCTAGTGACTGTTCATTTAAAGGTTTCCATTGACAGCGGCCTTTTGTGTTGGTAATAGGCAGTAGCAGACGCACTTTTATTATTGCTTGTGTTTTTGGATGGTAGTAGTATAGCGTCATTTGGCTAACGCAAATATCAGATGAGAATATATTGTGTGGTAGCGGTTGGGTGAAACCTTATCGAGTTTTGATATTTCCGGTGGTATACCGTGATTATACTATCACAGGTCTGCGGCAACGCATAGCAAATCTCAAAATACAGCAAGGTCAACGCTGTTCTAAATCAAAACAAAAATTACATAGCGGGTGTTGTCAATGTAGGAGAAGACGCTTCCCCTTCAGAAACAAGTAGTTTTATTCTAGTACTTTTTTCAATAGTCTACATTTTGATCTTTCTCTTGCTCATTTTTGCTCTTATTTCATGCATCTGATTTTGAATTACGATAATGTTGACATGTTGATATTTTTATTTCTCTCTCTCTTCTAGTTGTAAGGTGTAGATTTTCAGAAGTTTGTTTACAACTATCGATATTTAGGGGTTATAAAACTACAAATGGCAACAAAAACTATATTGCATTGCTTTTGATGAATATGACTTCTTGTGAGGAGCCAAGTAAACTAAATTTGTGTGTATTTTACACTAACTGATTTTTTATTGCTTATGAAAAGTGATAAACATGTGCAATCATTACAAACAAAGAGAGGGACATCTATTGTATTGCACAACCTTTTGTTCTTTATATCAAGATAGCGATGCCAGGTTTGTGTAATGTGCAGTCATGTTTGTAGATTAATCAATTTAATATGACTAGAACCAAGCCCGGAAGGCGTGCTCTTACAATGTAGCCTATATATTACGTATACACGCTGCAATTTATTTCCGCAATAATATACAGCAAAACACATCAATTTCTGGTGGCTTTCAGTACTCGTGCATTGTTATCTTAAATTTACCTTAACTACTACTGGATTTATATTTTTGCTAGTTCTTCAAGCTGATCAGTCTTTGTTTAAAGTGAACAAAAATGTCAAAATTGTACACATCAACGTTCTACAAACATTCTTACCCACCACAAAGCCTACAATATAGAAAGGGTGTGTGTGAACTTTTCTATATTAAATTTACAAGCACCTAAAGTAACATTATCAACAAAGCAGCAGAATTATCATACATTTTTATTTGTTGTTTAGAAATATGTCGAATTCTTCGAATCCTTCGGTAATTGATTTTCTCCAGAAGGAATGAAATATGAGGATGATTATAGTAGAGATTTTGATAGACCTTAATTGTATGTTTCTAGTTTTAAAAAAATCAGCATTGAATGTTTTTCTCCTTGTTTTTGTTATCAAACTGTCAACGTGTTAATAATCTGTAGAAACAAGGATTTTACATGTTAATTGACTAGTAATGTCTTGAGAAGCATCTTTTTTCTAACTTTTATCCTTTCTTTTTATTTCATATTTAAATTCTAAGCAGGACGATCAACATTTCGCGAGATATGGGAGTATGGTATATTACAGTACTTGTGGAAATATTTCTTCATACATTCGACGTCGCAATTTCAAAGCACGAAATTACAAAGATAAATTCCTATATTTATGAATCGTTAAGATATATAAACACTATAAAGTGATAATATCTTGCATGACTTGAGAGGAGGCCGCCACGGGGGAATCGTTTACGTGTGTGTTGAAGCACACCTTCATAGTGAGGTATTTAGCAGTGCATGTTACCAGCCGGACCTGACACTCTCGCAATACACGTGTAAATGCCATAAGCACTAATACGTTATTCTCAGGCTTCATTACAGAACTTGTTGACGGATATATTACTAAAGAGAGAATGAAGTAATATCGAGTGTTATGGTATCTTTAAACAATTCGGAAACTTGTCTGAAAGTGTGATCCGCAGTTGGAGGATATTGTTTCCAGAACGCAGACTTTGACGAGCACATGCACGGGCGGCTAAACATAACATGTCCGTTTCATTGAAGGCACTGCTTATATTATGGCCTTTTGTGTTGTCTTTGGAGCTATTATTCATGTTATGTGTGCCTATTTGTTTGGCAGATCCAGACCGTATCGGGGATTTATGTGATTCTGACACCAAGTGCCGGGAAGCTGTTGACCACTCTGTATGTGGATTTGGCGCGATCCGGAAGTGTGTTTGTGAAATCAAACGTTATCCAGAAAACAATGGGACTCTTTGTCATGAAAGTAAGTGATAATTTATGTTTAATGTGATTTGAGCTTTCGTTTTGTAACAAAACAGTTACACTCTTTACAAGTTTTTGTATCAGTGCTAGTGCTAAATTTCAATTTTTATCAAACCTTTTTCAAAATCAGAATTAACAATTTTGATACCATGATGCAAAACAGCGGCAAAATCAAAGTGTGGTAACGTAATTTTGACAAAGAAACCCCCACAAGATAATTCAGTTTGTAGCTAGCTTTAATGTTGGCATTAAAGCCGGGAATTACATTGCATCGTAGAAAAACACAGTGGAATATTGTACATGTTTGTTATTTTTATAAACCATACATACAATTCCCGTTAATAGTCTTGCCTGAGAAGTGATTGCTTTTCAATACCATATTGTACACAATCCAGTTATTGTGTTTATTCTTTAATTTTTGCTGACAAAGTTGTGTTTCGCGATGAAGTACTTTGATAGGGCAACATTTTGTGTCAACGAAATTACCACAGGTAAAGTTTTTATTACCTTTTTAAGGGATTAAAAGAACCATTCTGTTAACCTAGATCATCAATTTGAACGATGTCACAAAGATGCCAAAAACGAACTGGCACGTTTTACAGAAAATGTTCGTGAATAAACGTGAAGTTATGGCAGTTAAGGATAAGGCGATCTACTTCATGGTATAGATCTATCTCATCCTATACAGATGTAGGGTATTACATCTCCCAAAACTTCTCAGATAAGTCACAATTTCGCCTGGCGAAGATTCATAAAATTTTCACCTGTCTTGTGATTCAGATAAAGAGAACATCTTGATCCAATGTCATATAAGATCAGTGATATGCTGGACACTAATATTCAAATAAAAACACGTGTCAATTATAAACACACATTCTTCATGTTTGACAAAATCGACAATGTTGTCTTATTGTAACGTTGTAGCGAGTTATGTTTTGTTATGTTGAATTGTGCTTTTTCCGAGTGAATGAATGTGTTAAAACTCTGTCTGGTCCTAGTTAGGTACTGAGCAATTTTCCCTACAGCATGGAACGAGACGGCAAAAGAGATATCTACTTGACATACACGTATCTACAAAAGAATGCACCACATGACAGGCACAGTAACTCTAAAACATCACAATAGGAGGTCCTCGTCACCTTTTGTAGCGTAGTCATGTGACAATAAGATTACGTCATCTACACTGAGTTGATGGGTCGAGTTCACAAAGTGGAGTACTTATGTTAGAAATGGACGACATACGAATGACGCTCGGGACACGACTTTAGACTTAATGCTCTTGACTTAAGATTTTATACAATCGGATCGGAATATCACGAAGAAAATCATTCTTATTATATATTTCTCATCCTACATTAAAACAAAGAGATCCCGAGATCAAGCCATGTTACTGTCGAAGTGTTATCACTGACGTCACGTCAGTAATGCAGTGTGTTTGGTTAGTATCATCTTAAAGCACACAAAAGTGATAAATGCCCCTTGTTTTTGGTCTGATGAAGATTAGTAGCAAGGGAACATTAAAGGGACCTGACTATTCTATCAATTAACGTTAGGATAAATTGTTTTACCTCAGAGTGAACATCTTTTAATTGAATTCGAGTTAATTACAGATTTTTTATTCTCACATAATATAGTAATAAGACACAATTAAGTTGATAGCATGAACTACATGCGTTCATTCTCTTCGCTATGATGAAGACGATATATGCAGGATTCACACATGTCAATGATTTGTTCATAGACTACATGGGTCAAGTGGATTCTGAATGTCAATGGTCAATTATCTATTTAAGATTGGGAATGCTACGAATGCACGTGCGTGCTATCTGTTTCCTAGGGTACCGACTGTTATGGAAACAGCCCCTTCGTTCAAGCATTCATATTTTAAAAAAAAACTTCGATAAGCAATACAACTTTGGAGGGTATTTACAAGCAAAAATGTTTCATTTGAACATGCGTACAGTCAAACCAATATCACATAATGGAAGTATTTTACTTCTTTATCGCAATATAAAAAATCCTGACAGAATCGTTTTCTAGAGGCGGTACCGATATATTGAATATTTTGTGCTGTTTTATTCAGTATAGTTTGGTAATCGATATATATTGGAAGGTATTTTGGTGATCTCTGTGCCGTTATAAAGCCACATCCGCTGCATCAATAAAACGTGAGCACAGATTTCACTGCAAAAGAAATTTTCATCTTTACAAACAATAAAATTCAGGATTTCCCTGACGTTTTTTGAATTCTATCAACATAAAATGTTATACCGAAACAAAACATTTTGGTTTCATGGTCAAAAGATTTAATCCTGGCAATGCTAAATAAAATGGGCATCAGTTCAAATATAAATGTGTATACAGATACATTGCATTTTATTGGGAAAAGAAAATAACTTGTAAACAGTGTTCTAACGAAACAGCCTTATAAGTGGTTTAACGCTTAATTCATGAGTTTGAATATGATGATATTCTTCTTAATGAACGTTGCAACTGAAATCAATATATTTCCTCGACCTATTATCTAGATGTGGGAAAATTATTCAAACGCTAACAACCGTGCTGCGTGTTTTCCCATATTAAATGCCTTTTTTAGTTTATATTGATAAACTTAGTCGTGTTAACTTTCACATTTAAATATAATAATTGGTACATATAATGTATGACATCATTTTTTATTTGTATGACATTAGCAGCGATAATCTTGCGTGGTAATATTTCGAACTTTATCACAGTACTAAAGTATTATATACATAGTAGGGTTTCCGCAGGTATAGGATCCGTTTTGTATTACTAATCCAAGAAAATTATCAATCATATTTTTATACGCCTAGATTTGCAATTTCTGTTTCATTTGAATTATTTAACTTTCGCGTATGTGCGAATTTTTGCACATTTCGCTTTATTTCCATGAGTATTACAAGGCAAAGCACTGAGCATTCGTTCGAGCACAAAGTCGTGTGTTCATGCTTGTGTGTCTAACCAAGCTGTCGGTAGCTGGTAGGAATGTAGTATTTGGCAGACAGGAAACCACGATAAACAGCATTCTATTTTCAGATCTCAAAAGATGAGGTTAAAATGATCCCCATCTAAAACAATTGTATGGTTATCGGGAAACACCAGTTTGTGAACACAATAGTTACATTAGAGCGCTTCACCTGCATTTTAGTATACATAAATGCATTATAAAGAACATGAAGATATATTTTTATAAAGAATGGAGTTATATATTACTTTCTCGTCAAACGGTCAACTGAGTATTGAAGTCTGAGCAGGCCAAACCCTTAACTAATATCAAATATTCCTGACTCTGTTACACTGGGGATCTAGTTTGTTAACAGTCTGTTGAAAGCTGAAAATCAGCTTTCTGTGAATGACAGGGACTGCTTGGGAATGTATAACAATATAAAACGACTCATTATCGAACTACTGCCTCTCAGTACTACATTGGTAGTCTCTTGGTAAGTCAGAGTACTATTATAGCAGTATCATCATCAAACTATCACCTCTCAGTACTACACTGGTAGTCACTCGGTCAGTCAGGATAACATTATAACAACAAATATATAGACGAGCTTTTGTTATATGAACACAAAGAGGTGATAAGGTCACCATCTGTTCCTGACAATCGCCACCCGGTCACATTATTATTGTGTATTCTGATAACATTAAACATGAGAAAAAAAACAACATATTTAACTTTGTGTCTCATTCGCATTTATAAAAACTCAACAATACCTAATATGACTGCCTATGTAATTTACTACATGCTGTCATGCACGTATTAAAACATGTGTAGTACACGTGTTATAGTTATATGTGCATGAAAACGTATTTCCCTAATGTGACTAAAGGGGACTAAAATTTGATAATTCAAAGACATAATGAATATCTTGACAGAAAATATGATCTTTAAACATTAATTGGATACAATAACGCCGAATCCATCCATTTTAAATCATAGAGAAAGATACCTTGATAAACACATCTTGAATAAGACATGCAACCGTGAAATTGTCAAATGGTTGAGGTTAAATATATCTTAATAGCAAATCTATATCAAAATATGCCACCGTAAAATTTTGTCAAGTGGTTGTGGTAAAATATGCCATTATAAGCATATCTAGATCAAAACGTGTCACCGTGAAATTGTCAAATGGCTGTTTTGAAAGACACTTTGATAGAAAATCTAATTCAATACATGCCACCCGTGAAATTGTCGAGTGATTATGGTGATGTATACTTTAATAAACAAATCTGTATTTAGACATGCCACCTTGAAATTGTCAAGTGGCTGTGGAGAAATAGACCCTGATGTTATTTTATGAATCATGTACCATGATGTATACGAAGAGAAGAAAATCGGCACCAACACACAAGGAGACGTATATCATATCATCCAGTGACTTGATACCTACAGTGATAAAGTACAATCGTTATGTAAATAATTCTAGTGAGGAAACCCTACCATCATTTCATTATCTCAATATATTCACCGTCTTTTTACAATATTTTGTGGGATATGAAATCCTATCATTATTAGGTTTACTATCACTTCAAATCGATCATAGGAGGTCAAAACTTCAGGGAAAAGTACATTTTATTGGATAACCCTGGAAATAGACAAATAATACCAGTTCAGTAAAGGTATATGTTTTCTGTCTTCGTGTCATTTAAACAACACAAAATAACAAACACAATGTCAATATCTGAGGACGAGCTACAGAAACACATACACATATGTGTTATGTGTTAGATGTGTAAACGTCCATAACCAGAGGAAAGAACTCTTTCATATGTATGAGTAGTGAGTGTATAAAGATGAATTACATGTAATATATAGTGGTGGGTGTATGTTACACAGATGAAGGACATGTATTATATAGTGGTGGGTGTATGTTACAGAGATGAAGGACATGTATTATATAGTCGTGGGTGTATGTTACACAGATGAAGGACATGTATCATATAGTGGTGGGTGTATGTTACACAGATAAAGGA